CTTTAATCTTCCTCGAAAGTCATTTCAAGTCATTGCTATTTTCTGCTAGTCAACTGGTGTCATCTGGCTATCTTTAAGAACTGATTGTCTTCCACCAATTTTCCCACCTTCTTCATCAGAATCTAACCCACTACCGAAATGTTCTAAATGTATAAATGTAATTAAAAATTCCCAGCATTATCATTTTTTGAAAAATCAAAGACAGGTATAATGCTAACATCTAATGTTATAGTATTACCTTTTGCAGTATCGTGCTACAAAACCATAATAACATGCTGCTGATTTTTAAAAAAGATTTTTAAAAGAACCATATCATAATAACCATTTTAGGAACATGACTAGAAATGATTTTGTTTTAAGTTAATATTACATCATTATGGTATTATACAAACTAATTTTCTTTCCCTGAGAAAAAAATATTGCCAGAAAAGTATAAAGTATTTTAGCATTAATTAATATAACAGTTTAAAAAGGGACCAAAATAAGCTCAATATGTCACTGCAAGCATGAAAAGTGTATTTTAAAAAACAACACAGAAGACTATAACCCAGAGAAACTATGCTACTATTCCATTCTCTGAAGAAAAGTTAGATTTCCTGCAGGCTAAACAGAGGCATGAGAACCAATCAAAAGTAATTAATTACTGGTAAGAATGAAAAATGAAACTTGTGGTTAGGCAGATGTACTGTAGCTAAAAGTACGACTGTGCTGAACTGCAGAATGAATGGGGCAACAGTTAAGAACAGAATGCACTTAAAGCATGTCAGCATTTGAAGGCCAATATTGCAGTGCTTCATGACTTCTCAGCATTTGGAACTGGCTACCCTGCAATGCTGAAGTATGGATTTTTTTTAAAAAAAAAAATCACAAGCATATCCAATCTAAGTGCCAAGTTTTTAGTTTCCTCTCATTTCTCTTCCTTCCCTTGGGCTCCATAAAAAAGAACTGTCTTTGGTTTGTGCTCGAAAATGGATGCTGCGTGTAACAGCCAAAAAAGAGAAGAAAGCATTTTGATAGATAAACGGCCTATACATGTACATGCAAGGGGGGGGGAGAGAGAGAGAGTAAAGCCACTATGACTGCTGTTGCCTTCTCCAAATATCCCCAGTGCTTACAGGATTTGCCATTGGGGGCTGCAGAAATGAGACACCTCCAGTCTGGTAATTGTTGTTTCTAAAAGTCTCCAGATCTGATTATTACCACTAAAAGTACCTCCCTGTTTTGCCAAACGAAATTAGCAAGCCATTTTTGCTGGGAGCAGAAAAGTGCTAACAGACGGATGTTATGATGTAGCCAGACCCAGCTGTTGGGGTTTTAATGGGCAATCACTAGTTGTTCTGCTGGAAATGCAAAGTTGAAATCTAAAACGTTGCATGTTTGGCAAAACAAACAAGAGGCTTGGCTATGGTTTCCAACATAGAAAATTCTACTCCAAATTAAGTTTAAAAAAAAAAATCAGCAGGACCTCCCTTAAAAACATACACACCCAAAATAAGGCCACAGGCACTCCACTGCATTATTCTGTAAGCCTGAATTACCTGTTGACAATTCACGGGCAATAACAGCCTTATGCAGAGGTAAGTGTCCACATACCTCCCCCAATAACCCTGTACACCTAGCAACATTCCAGACCTTCACACACTGAGAACAGATGCCTATATACCCCATGCCAGGGTCCCTAAGACTAGGAACTCTGATAAGGCAGGTATCTCTGTGACTGAGCTGAACAGAAAAACATGATGTCTTGCATTAAAAGACTAACAGATGGTCTGGGGTTTCCCATGGTTTGGAGAAGTGTAGCCCATCATCATGTAGTGTGCTTACTGTGTCAAGGCAAACTTAAGACACTGCATCCCTGTCAAACATCTCTAGAACAAATCTTCTATTCTCTCAGTAGCTTTCTGTTTTCTTCAGGCCTCGAGAAATGTAACCTCATGAGGTGCTGGCTCCTCCAAAATCTCCAACTAAGGACCTGGACACTCTCAGCAAATTAGGACTTGAGCAAAAATAGCCAGGCTGTGACAATATCTTTAAGAGAAATTAGCAGGGCTTAAAGCAGAAAAGACAGAAATGTAGTAGGTGGGTTATCACAGACTGGAGTGAGTTCATCTATGATCATCCTTCATCTCCCATAATCCTATGCTGGGTAGGTCTGATACAAGTAGTGGTCAAGGTACATCAAAGTACATTTGAAGGGCTCTTGATGATGTCCCAGCATACATACCGATTTGCTGCAAAGCTGTTGCACCAGTAAAAGATTGGGGTCCATCTTAGAAGGGGAGGGGGAGGAGAACCTGGCTACCTGAAACACTTCTCTGGCCCCTTGGACAGTTGTTTCAGCAGATTCCACTAGGAATGACAGTGTCTTGACTTGGGCTGGATTTTCACATGAAGCCTCCTTGAAAGGTTGTTGCAATATGTCTAATGCTTTTTCTTTTTCTTAACTAATCCTATGTCCCTACCTGGATGAGTGGAGTCTCATGACAGTTACACATGCACTGGTAACATCTCGCATAGATTAATGCAATGCGCTCTACATGGGGCTGCCTTCGAAGACAGTCTGGCGACTGCAACTGGTCCAGAATCGAGCTGCG